CTGAAAACAATTGCACTGATTACATTCCTTCATGGACCAGGAATTTGTGGTTCAGGAAAATGTGCCAGTTCACATATTCAACACACAACAGCAAAATAGAAACAATTGGGTGTGCAGCAAAGCAATGGACAGCAAGTACAGAGTTCTCTTAGTTATGGGTTAGGAAGTGTCCAGTGACACCTTTAAGACCAACAAAGTTTTATTCATTGTATAAGTTTTGTTTGCTTGCACAAGAAAGCTTATACCTGAATAAAACTTTGTTCATCTTAAAGGTGCAACTGGACTCAAAATTTGTTTTGCTGCTTCAAACCAACATGGCTACCCCACCTGAATCTGTCTTCATGGGTTATGAAACCAATATTCACTAATGAGGTCAAACTTATCATAGGATAAGCTATCACCTGATAAATGTAATCTCCAACTTCCATCAACTCTAAATCATTTTGTCCCTGGGACACACAGGAAATGGCCCTTCAGTTTCTCATACCCTACTTCAGTGCCAGAATTGCTGGGCACACTTTCCATATAAATCCCGATATTCCAACGATAAGTAGCAAATACCCTTAAATGAGACTGGCAAAAATTTAATCATTATATACCACAAATAGAGTCATGGACCCACAAAACACCCATGGGTCTGGGATCTTCCCCAATCTTCCCTCCCCCAGTGGAGAGTGGCAAGGGAACGAGATTGCCCTTTTTGCCTCTGGGGTCAGTGGAGCTCCAGTATGGAAGAAAAAGAAAAGGAGTTATTTCTCCCCCTTCATCTCCCCACAGCAGTTGCCTTGACCCAAGAACAAACTTTTCTGAGTTGGAAATGGCGATGGGGGAGGGGAGGGAAAGAGAAGATCCTAGAATCCTTGAGCCCTGGACCACAGGATCCAACCCAGAGAGATTATGGTATTTTATGCTGTTAGATCAGAGTGCCTGTTATCAAGGTTTGTTTTTTCAATTTACACCACTTACAGTCTGCCCTTCTGCCAAGTTCAGACTCAAAAGTCATGAAGGGCAGATATATTGTACCAGGCAGGCAATATCACTATCCTGAAATCCATTTGGCAGACATCTCACAACTTCTAGGGATACAGCTGGCATATACCAGTATAGGGTAGTGGTTAGTTGGCATATACCAGCATAGGGTAGTGGCTAGACTGTCAGACTAGGACAAAGGACAGCTTGCGTGAAGTCTCTGGATAACATTTGCTCTGGGGTTTTCTTCACCTCACCATCTTTGTCAGGTATGGCAGAAGTCTCAAGGAGAGGAAAGTGAGACAAATGGCCAAAGAGTTATAAAAGTCAGTCTTCCAAGACTGGATGAAATGTTTTATGATATATGATACTAGATGTATCCCACTCTGTGTAACCTGGGAGCAGCTCAGTAGAGTCCATCCAGCAGCTCACTAGAGTCTAGAATAACCAGGATGTTTGCTGTTTTGTTGTGTGTAAAAGGAGTATTTGCTTGAAATGTGCACACTGATGAAACAGTGTAGTTTAGTCCTTAGAGTATCAGACTAAGATCTGGGAGACCCAGGGTCAAATTCCCAGTTTGCAACTGAATCTTGCTGGGGGACTCACAAACCTTTTTGTTTTGAGGATAAAATGAAGGAGAAAAGAACCTTGAGCCACTTCGGTTCCCATTGGGAAGAAAGGTGGGGCATAAATGAAGCAAATAAAGAGTCATAATACAGGAAAATCAATGAAGCGGATTCAAGGGAAACATTTTATCTGAGACAGATATTACTGGAATCAAGGCTAAACCTAGCAGCATAGAAAAAGGTTACCTATTGGCCACCTGGTATGATAGCAGTCACATCCCAAAAGCATCAGCCTGCTTACATAGCACAACTGTCTCTCTAAAATAGATTCAGGTGGGTAGCTGGGTTGGTCTGAAGCAACAGTACAAAGTTTGAGTCCAATGACACCTTTAAGACCAAAAACCTTTAATCTTGGGTATAAGCTTTTGTGTGCATATGCTCAAAATTAAACTTTGTTGGTCTTAAAGGTGCCACTGGACTCAAACTTTGTCCTTTAAAGGGACTTTTAATAATTCCTGTTATTTCTGTTGTTAATTTCCTTTAAAAATTAGGTACAGGCTGTGGCATTCTAGGATAAAAGCCAAAGGTTTTAATTCACCAAACACTGCTAAAAGTGCCAATACCCTATTAGTTAAAATTGCTGTTTTACAACAATATTGTTTTACCCAATGGTTAGCCGATCTGCTTTCATAATTCGTTTAAGAACCAAACCTGTTCATTATTAACGTAGCTTTTTTGTTCTACTAAGTGTAATTCTTTAAACATTCATGACCAATATATTAGACAACTGACTAAATCGTCCCAAGTGTTCAAAAAAGCTGTTTCTTGATGACTAAGAAATGAATCAAACCAAATGAAGACAACTCTGTGTGACAAATTAGGATTATAATTTTACCACAGGAAGGCAGATTACCTTGGGAAATAGCATCCAAAACATTTTATCAGAGGCTGGAGCTACTTCTCTCCATTTACCTTAACTCAGCTCTGAACCAAATGGAGCAGAGTTGGGGGAGGGGGACACCTCTGTTTGCCCAGAGCAAGACTGTATCCAGAGGCCTTTTGGCAGATTAGCTAAAATGAGGCTTTATTAACTATGTAAGAGAAAAACTGTATGGAAAAGACTCAGTGCTCCTCATTTACAAGGGTGGCAGAGTGGGCGAGGTGAGCCACATTACCTCAGGATTTCTCCTTAAGTGCATACAAACTTAAGCAAACAAGGGAAGACAGAGAGACCAGAGATCTTTCACAATGTTTGTTGTAACTGCTAATGAGACAGGAACATTCTGGAATGTTAGACTGAATCTTCCTATTTGTGACCAAGCTCCCCTGCTTTCTCTCCCCCCCCCCAAAATATGCAAACTCCAAGGCTTTTCACGACCTTTTCTTCAACTCTGAGTATTTAAGGTGCTATTCAAGCAGCAATGGAGACCTTCCTGAGCAGGAAAAAGCAGTTTATCAAAATGCAGGTGTAGGTGTAAATTAAGAGATTACTTCCAGAAGAAAAGGAGGGGGAACCTCTTGCATTGTTTCCAGTGGGCAATCCTGTCATTTCTTTCAGTTTATCCCCATTTTATAGCCAGTATATGAAGTCAAATTCAGTAAGGTCAAACCAGCTTCATAAAGAGCAAAACATTCCAAAGCTTACAGGAAAGCAATGCTGTGCGATGTCTTATGATTTTCTGCAATATCTGAATGGTGAGGAAATCATTTTGCAGCTGGCAGCTTTACTACTACTTCTCTGCTACTTTTGCTGAATTGTATCAATTTGAATTACACACTTTTATGCCACGTGTGCTATCTACCAAGCTGCAGACCTTTCAGGCATTTTCACAGTCCATACAGCAATAATATCCACACTCAGCCCTAAACTGAGAATACTCCCTATTTCCTTAAGGAATCAAATTTGGTCTTCCTAACAGTATCAACTGCCTTTTAGCAGTATTCCTCATATTTTAAAAAGCCACAAGTCTTTCCTAAACTTTCTAGCCCCAAACCTCACCACCAGTCTAAGCATCTCTTTCAGTAATTCTGCCTGCATCCACATTCTTTGTGTGTCCCACTGAACTATTCTCATCCTTCACATCTGTTTGCTTCCAGCTCTTAATTATTCTGCTTTTCTTCAGACTTTTACTAGACGCATCATTTCTTGTCAGTGTGGTGGTTCTTCTCCAGTCTGAGGTAACAAAGACTACAGCAACCAGGTACATGTCACCTGTCCTCCCCCTTCTCCTTTTCAGCAATCTTAATTTTGGCAAAAAGCAAGCATGTGTTGTTAACTCATCATTTGAAAAAGTCTTAAGTCTTGACTTTTTGATAGGTCCAGTAAAATGTGCAAAAACTACTTATATACAGTTCTGTGGCTCTGAGAAAAATCAAAAACCATATTTTTAAAGCATGACAGTTTAATCATCCTGCTCCCATTCTTTGCCTGAATAAATTATATGTGAAGATCAACTTTCAACTCCTCGAACTAAAGCTCCCCAGCCACATTCCTGTGTTGCAGAAATTCCTAACAGTTATTGTCTATATACCCCATAGGACTGTCCATGTCTTTCCAACCTACGCCTCCTTTTCAAACTGATGTGGGGATCCAAAGAAAGCATTCTGTTCCAATCCTAAACGTAACTTGAACCCTGAATGTTTCAGAAAAGCTTGATTACCAAGTCTTCCCGGAAGAAAAATCAAATTCCGTTTTCCTTGACTTTGTCCCATTTATACTGAACACAAAACCTTAAATCTTAAGGTGCCACAACACTATTTCCAGCCTGGACTGTTTCTGATGGTTTACAGCCTTTCCTAAACCACAGTATAGCAAGAGCATTAAATTAAAAAAACAAAACACTATTCACAAGACAGTTTTTAACTTGTAGTTTTACTATTATACAGAACTTTGGACAAGAAAAGAACTCTGTCTCATTGGAAAGTTTGTTATTCAACATCATCGGCTCTTCCCGTTGGAGCCATTCAGGATCCAATGTTCTAGAGCAGCAAAATAAAGCAGGAGTTTAGCAGCACCTTAAGGACTAAAAGTTAAATTTTGTTAGTCTTTAATGTGCTGCTAGTACGTGTTGCGTGCCGTTCACCTGCTTCCGATTTACGTCGACCCTATAAATAAATCACCTCAATGATACCCTCTCGTTAGCAGTCTTGCAAACCGAAGGCCTCACGCAGACCAGACAGGGCCTTCACTCAGCTTTTCCATCTTGGGGGGAAAAGGAAACCCAACTGGAAGAGTCGGCACTGGAAAGTAACTCGTCTCTCTCTCTCTCTCTCAGCTCCACTGACTGTCTTCCAGTAAGGAGAACGGCATGATTCCTCAGATTTCTCTAACTAGGCAACTGGGCTTGCAACCTACCGAAAGCCGAGGTCCATACTCACTCCAGACCTAGGAAGCTTCTGAGTCGAGGTGTTGATTAGACCGCCATCCTTTTAAGCTCTCCTTCCTCTTGGCTCTGTTCGGCTTACCTGTTTCTGAACTCCTCGTTGTAAATCGTCCTGAGTACCACTCTGCTGCTCACGGCTTGCCTGCCAGAATCCTTTAGAAACTGTATAAATTGCTCCCCGATCTCCCTCCTCTCCCTAAAAGTGAATTTGGGCATGATCCACGCGCTCCCTCGCCTCTTTTCAGCTGCACCGCCAAGACCTCTCTGGCCCGACCCTCTGCTTGTGAAAGCTGCCAAGGCAAATCTTATCGGCAGGCGGCCAAGCAGGTTAGCTCCGACTCAAACGAAACGAAACTGAAAGCGAATTGCTAGGCTGACTCAGAGCGTGATGAGGCGTGGGTGGAGACATCGCAGTCGCCCTCCGTACCACGGTGTTTGGGGAATGCCAGGATCTAGGCCTTCACGGACCTGCTGGTTCCCTATGCGTTGCAAGTAAGCACAAGAGAGAAATTCTCTTTCTGAAGCAAGGAAAGCGTAGATGCTGTTCACAATGCCAGAACCTGTCGCCCGAGTGCCCGTGAAATGGTAATAAAAAGAGTCCTTGAGAACATGTGAAAAGGACTTTTCCTCTCAATATGCTTGGGTGCAGTGTGAAAAGTACCTGTTCTATTCCTCCCCGCAGCTAGTGTGCCTTCCAAGTAACCTTGTCATGAGGAAGGCTAAGTCATTTGCATCGGAAAGCAGGTTTGGGGAGGGAGGTTATTAAAAAACGACATGCAGATAATTATTTCATTTATGATTGGATTTGTTTGGGTTGTGTGTTTCAGGAATCAAAGGAGGCAGGTGGGAATATTTGGCTGTTCTGGCAAAGGTCAGTAAATCTTCACCAGCTATTTTAGAAACTATTAATCCAATGGGGATACTACTGCTTTGCAAATAAAAAGAAGCTAGTAATCACTATTAATAATAAATACAACAGATCTATAGAATATATTGAAGTTCTCAAAAACAGTTATAGAACACCACGATTCAAGTAACCTTTACATCCAGAAATCTGAGTCCCTTTTGGTTTATGAAGACTAGTCCTTAATGGATTTTGTTCCTCTGTCCCAGTGCACTAAGCTAAGAGCTTCAGCTAAGCAAATAGGAATGCAGTGCACTGGTGATTTCCAAGGCCCAATGGCCTTCAGAAGAAACATTACTTTGTGATGGAGAAAAAATGAGAACAAACTCATTTAATCCAATTCTGCAATATTTGCTTCATTTGTACCTACAAATTGCCACTGGCAATACTTTGCCTATGAATAATAAGGACTTAAATTTTATTCTTGGCTAATCTTGCTGCAAAGCTTCAGACCTTTGGCTGATTGTTTTGGTGTTATCCTGTATTTTGGAGATGATAATTTAGACCAAGTGAGTTACCCAATTTAAAAATTGGTTTTTTCCCCCCCCCCCCCCGGATATTTAGCTTCAGAATTGAGCACAAAGCAATCTGTACCATTTTTTAAAATCCATGAGGAATTTCAGACAGACGATATATTCCGGAAGAGGAACGGTTCCCAAACTGTTTCTGGTCTGTCGTTTCAGACAGAACCGGTTCCCTTCCGGAATACATGTGTGTGTTCAACTTTATCATTAATAAACATACAAAAGATGGTTAGCGGGGAATGTAGCTGAGAAGTATGGTAGAGAAAGCACATGACACTTGCTGTACTGAATGAGAGGCACGGGACTTTGGCTGTGTGATTCAGAGAACACTGGCCTGGGAGTAAGCCTCATTGAATAATATGGGACTTACTTCTGAGTTAGACCTATTTAGGATTACTTCCTATATTTACTCTTAACCCATTTTTATGGGTGATGCTCTTGAAGAGATAGATAAAATCAAAGGAATAATAATAATAATAATAATAATAATATAATACTTTATTGTCATTGTACACAGTACAACGAAATTAAAGGATAAGAAAGATACTGAAAATAAACTTCAAAATTAGTGTTTATTTGCATATTTACACATGCATATTTACCATTTGCATTTCAAATCTGAAATTGTTATACCACTTTAATTAAATTTATTCAATCAATCTGCATTTTTCAAAAAGGTAAAAATTACTGTAATCTCATCTGTGTTTCTGTGCAAGTTTCCATTTAAATGCTTAAAGCACCCCTCATAGTCTGGAAAGCATCATACTGTACCATTCTGTCAAGCAATGTCACACCTCAGTTGAACAGAGTTTGAATCCAGTGGCACCTTTAAACCCAGCAAAATTCTATTCTGAGTATAAGCTTTTGTGTGTATGCACACTTCTTCAGATACATTAAAACAGAAGTCACCCACCATTACATATAGGTGGCGGGTGTTGCCAGGAAGGGCTAATTAGAGTCAAGGTGCATAAGTAATTGAGCAATAAGATTGGATTAAGGCAATTGGTAAAACCTGTGAATAGCAGCAAATTAGCATACAGCATAATAAAACAGTTTACAGACAGATGAGAGAACAGAATATATTAGCATGTGTAGTGAAATAAGAAACTGATATCTTTATTAAGCCCTAGGGTTCCATTGTCCTGAGTGTTGTAATAACTTGCAAGTCAGCGATCTCCTGTTCCAGTCTTTCTGAAATTCCTTTGCAAGAAAACAGCTACTCTGAGGTCTCCCATTGAATGTCCTGGAAGGTTGTTCTCCTACAGGTTTCTCAGTTTTGTGATTCTTGATGTCAGATTTATGTCCATTTATCCTTCATCATACGGTTTGATCTGTTTGCTCTGTGTAGCAAACTGAAGGGCATTATTGGCATTTAATGTGATATAAAATTAGAAGATGAGCAAGTGAATGAGCCTGAGATGGTATAGTTGATGTTGTTAGGTCCAGTGATTCTGTTGTGAGGCTGTATGTGGCAGCAAAGTTGGCATCTGGGTTTATTAAAAGCTCTGGTTTTTGTTATTGTTCAGTTGCACAGTCGAGTCCTACTCTTCACGACCCCATGGACCCCTTCACGCCAGGCCCTCCTGTCTTCCGTCATCCTCCGGAGTTTGCTCAACTTCATGCTCCTTGCATCGATAACACTGTCTAACCATCTCATCCTTTGCCGTCCTTCTTTTACTTTCAGTCTTTCCCAGCATCAGGGCCTTCTCCAGTGAGGGCTCATTTCTCATTTGGTGGCCAAAGTATTTGAGCTTCAGCATCTGGCCTTCCAGGGAACAGTCAGGGTTGATTTCTTTTAGGATTGACTGATTTGATCTCCTTGCAGTCCAAGGGACTCTCAAGAGTCTTCTCCAGCATCATAATTCAAAAGCATCTATTCTTTGGCATTCGGCCTTCCTTATGATGCACAAATCTGTGCCTGGGTGCTCCCATGCCAAATTGGAAGCACACACAGTTGCATCCTAATTCCTTCTACACTTATGGTCCAACTCTCACAGCCGTACATTACTACTGGGAATACCATTGCTTTGACCATACGGACTTTTGTCGACAGGGTAATGTCTCCACTTTTTATTACGCCGTCTAAGTTTGCCATCGCTCTCCTCCCAAGGAGCAGGTGTCTTTTAATTTCATGGCTGCAGTCACCGTCTGCAGTGATCTTGGATCCCAGGAATGTGAATTCTGTCACTTCTTCCATGACTTCCCCTTCTATTTGCCAAGGAGTGATGGGGCCGGATGCCATTATCTTAGTTTTTTTGATGTTGAGTTTCAAGCCAACTTTTGCGCTCTCCTCTTTCATGTTGAGCAAGAGGCTCTTAAGGTCCTCTTTCTGCCTTTAGAGTGGTATCATCTGCACATCTGAGATTGTTGATGTTTTTCCCGGCAAACTTAATTCAGGTTTGTGATTCATCCAAGCCAGCATTTCATATGATGTACTCGACATATGAATTAGATAGGCAGGGTGATAATATACATCCTTGTCGTACTCCTTTTCCTATGCTAAACCAATCAGTTGTTCTATATCTGGTTCTAACTGTCACTTCTTGACCCTTATACAGGTTTCTCAGGAGACAGTGGTCTGGTACTCCTATCTCTTTAAGGACTTGCCACAGTTTGTTGTGATCCACACAATCAAAGGCTTTAGTGTAGTCAATGAAGCAGAAGTAGATGTTTTTCTGGTACTCGCTTTCTCCATAATCCAGCCAATGTTGGCAATTTGATCTCTCATTCCTCTGCCTCTTTGAAATCCAGCTTCTACTTCTGGCAGTTCTCTGTCCACTTAGTGCTGAAGCCCAGCTTGTAGGATCTTGAGCATGACCTTGCTAGCATATGAAATGAGTGGAATTGTGCGAAGTTTGTCCTTTTTTGGGATTGGAATGTAAACTGACCTTTTCCAATCCTGCGGTCACTGTTGCGGTTTCCAATTTTGGTGGCATATTAAGTGCAGGACTTTAACAGCATCATCTTTTAAGACTTTGAATAGCTCAGCTGGGATACCATCATCTCCACTAGCTTTGTTGTTAGTAATGCTTTCTAAGGCCCATTTGACTTCGCACTCCAGGATGTCTGGCTCGAGGTCAGTGATCACACTGTCGTGGTTGTCAAGGACACTGAGGTCCTTGTATAGTTCTTCTGTGTATTCTTGCCATCTCTTGAGCTTCTGTTAGGTCTCTACGGTTTTTGTCCTTTATCATGGCCACCTTTGCACAGAACGTTCCCTTGATTTCTTCAGTTTTCTTGAACAGATCTCTAGTTTTTCCCGTTCTATTGTTTTCAGGGCCAGCCCAAGGTTTTTTTGCACGCTAGGCGAGGCTAGCTTGTGGCGCCCCCTCCCCCCCCCGCCGAGGCTGCCTTGTGGCATCCCTAACCTGGCAAGGTCAATTAGACCAGGGGGCCTGGATCCCTCCAGTGAGTTCCCTGCTGTTTTCCCTCCTCTGTTTAATCCTCACAGCAGCTCCCTCTGGACGCGGACCTTGATTCCACCGAGTGTTTAAAAAATAAGAGTTCTCGACTCGGCCAGAGGTTTCCTCTTTATTTTTGTCCTCCCAGAGCAAAAGAAGCAGGGAGGGAGGGAGGGAGGCCGGGGAGTGGCCCTTGAGGCAGGCCTTCCAATTGGAGAGGAGGGGGTGCCTTCAAGCGGCCCAGCTCTTCTTGTGGCAGAAGGTTCCGCGGGCAAAAACCCTCCCTTGGGCTTTCCTCGTCTGCAAAAGAGGGGTGGAGGGAGGCACAGGAGTCCGCAGCCGGGGAGGGGGTCTCTTCTCTGCACCCCTTGAGGGGAGACCACTCCTCTCGCCTCCCTCCGGGGCTTGTGAACCTGCCCTCCACGGCTCCTTTGCCCTCCGCCTCC